CGGCCCTTAAACAAAAATTTGAATGGGAAAGTGTGGGGTCAAATTCTGACCATGACATGGCTTTTGAGCAAGAAGAAATGAGACAACCCGAGAGGATAACGAGGCTAATGAGGAGGACAAACGGAGAAGAACAATCTCACATGGCTCCAGTGGCCGAAAAGTCAAAAGAGACTGTTGGGGGAGGGTTTCCACCTCTCAAAGACTTGAAACAACAGGAGAGGAAGGATCAACAACAAACTAGAGCCCTACAAAAGTTCGTGATGGGTAGGGTAATGTTTTGCGGCTAACAGGCATATATGGTTGGCCAGAGATGAGCAGAAAACATCTGACATGGAATCTGCTAAGACATTTAAATAACCAAACTGACCTGCCATGGATGTGTTGTGGAGATTTTAACCTCATTCAACATTATGCAAAGAAGAATGGTAAACAACCTGCCAATGGATATGAGTTGGATGGTTTTAATAGCGCTCTGGCGGATTGCCAGCTCGAAGACCTAGGTTTCTATGGTAAACCATACACCTGGGACAACAATCACAAGGATGACACCTTTCTCGAGGAAAGGTTGGATAGAATGGTGGCAACAGATTCATGGAGGAAACTCTACCCTGAAGATGGAGTTTATCATCTCAGACGTTGTGGTTCAGATCATAATCCTATTTTACTCAAAATGAATGTGGTAGTGGAGGATGTTAAGTGGGGACATTATTTCAAAATTTGAAGCTTTTTGGCAGGACCATGAGGAGTGCAAACAAGTGATAAAGGAAGGTTGGGAAACTGGGAGTAGGGAATCAATAATAGGGAGGATAAAACTGTGTGAAGAATGCCTCAGGAGCTGGAGTAAACAAACGTTTGCAAGCCTCAAATCAAGAAGGATCAAAGCTGAGCAGGCCCTCGCAAAAATTGACAAATTGCCTACGACTGAGGCCATTTTGGTTCAGATAGTGTGCTTGAGAATGAGCTGGAAGATATTCTCTTACAGGAAGAGCTGATCTGGAAGAAACTTTCCAGAAATGAGTGGCTAAAATTTTGGGATAAGAACACAAAGTTCTTTCATCGACGAGCCTCAGATAGAAGAGCTAAGAATATGTTTAGGAAGATTAAGGATGAGGATGGGAGGGTATGTGTTGGACAGGAGGATGTAGCTCAGTGTATAGTGCAGTTCTATAAGAAGTTTACTCTGCTGGAGTAAGAACAGAGGCTCGGATGGTTATTGATGCAATACCACAGAAAGTTACTACAGCCATGAACGAGGAATTGTTACTACCACTAACAAGAGAAGAGATATGGGCTGCTTTGAAGTCTATGAGGCCCTTAAAAGCTCTAGGAGCAGATGGAATGCGTGCCCTTTTCTTTCAAAAGAAATGGGATGTGATGGGAGATGATATAACTACATAGTTGCAGGGGTATTTTGAGGAGGGAAGCTTCCCACAGCACCTCAATCACACACTCTTGGCCCTGGAAAGAGCTCTGCAAGCCAAAGAAGTGGGGAGGAATGGGGTTTAAAAACCTATAGAGTTTTAATCTGGCTTTACTAGGAAAACAACTATGGCGCCTAATACAAAACCCTGATACTCTGGTGGCACAGGTAATGAAGGCTAAGTATTATGACGATTGTGATCCTCTAGAGGCAGAAGTGGGAAAGAACCCTAACTGGATCTAGCGTGGCTTAATGGCGGCAAAGGATTTGGTTAAGAGAGGTACCAGGTGGAGAGTGGGGAATGGCCATAAGATTGACATTTGTCTAGATAGGTGGATCCCATCAAGTGCTAATATTAGAGTAACCTCCCCAACAGCACTTTGGAGCAATACTACCTCAGTGTCTGAGCTAATTGAGGCTGAAACAAGAAGCTGGAGAACTGATCTATTGCAAACGCATTTTAATCCCACAGATAGGCTCAACATTCTAAAAATCCCTATCCCACAACAACCTATGGAGGATAAGAGAATTTGTGCAGAGGAGAAATCGGGGGAGTACTCTGTTAAATCTGCTTATAGGCTATGGGAGGATAGGAATGTGGAAGAAGAGGGTGAAATTTATACATCAGTGAATTGGAAACGGCTCTGGAACTTGAAAATCCCTCCTAAGGTCAAAGTCTTTGCTTGGAGATGGCTGCAGAACATAATTCCTACAGGAGCTAAAATCTTAGATCGAATGCAGAAGGGCAGTGATGGATGCCCTTTTTGCAATCTCAGGGAAACACAAGAACACATTTTCAGAGAGTGTTCATGGGCTCGGAGGATTTGGAGGTATAGCCTGATGAATCCATACATAGAAAGGGGGGAAGAACTCACCTCGGAGGAGTGGTTCGGCGAACTAGAAGAGACTGAGCCCGATGAGAAATTGGGACTGTTCCTGGTCGCCCTCTGGAATTGAAGACGCCAAAGAGAGTTCTCATCACCACTAGCGGAAAAAGCTTCTACCCCACGACCCGGAATAGACGACGCCACCCCACCCTGCTGCGCGTACCAAGTAGTAGAGACCATCACGGAAGCGGCCCAGTCCAATCACTGTCTTGGAACGTGAGTCGTGGATGATACAAAAATCAACCAAGGTTACCAAAGCAACAACATTATCTTGCAAGAGGCAGCTAACATACAAGAAATTGCATTTAAACTCGAGAACATAGAGAACACGACGTAAGGTAAGGCGATCATTTAATGTCACGGAACCCATTCCTTCGACAAGAATGTAGCGGCCGTTAGGAATGCAGACAAGAGAATATGAACTACTACGATCAATTCCATCAAGCCAACTAGCATCACTAGCATCAATAAGCCATTCGTAGGGATCAGTGAAATTACCCGGCATATGAGCCGTCAGGTCTGGAGCCGGTACGGGGGAGCTTCAAAACAGCTTCAAAACTAGCAAGTGAGCGCTCGTCAAGCCGGGAATGGGATTGTCGACTGTGTCGACATGAGTAGCCCATGGGGCAGCCTCACCGTGAGGCTGGCGTGCAGGCGGAGAACGATCTGTTTCTCGCTGCTTAGGCTTGCCTTGATCTGAGGGGAAACCAATCAACAGGTAAGACATCTCCTTGCTGTGCCCTAGCTTGCGGCAATGACGGCAACGAGTGTGACCCATAATAAAGGATAACCAAAAATACACGCCAACAAGAATCCCTCCAATGGGTAGCTATAAAATTCTCATATGTGGTCACTATTCACACATTTGATGGCGGTTTTGGTGCTTGTTTTGAATCTTATGAACAAAGGTTTCAAATTTGGGTAAGCTCTATCTTTTACCTAGAGAAGTCATCTACAATCATATATGCAATTGATTTTGCAATTGTATTGACGTGGATACTCTAACACGTAAAAGGTTAGCACAATGGTTGTCATGACGACATCCTATCGGTCGGTTTAGCAGGAAACAACTAGTACCGGCCACCAAGCAAGTTGGAAAGGGATCGGTAATTAGTATTACTCAAAACTGGCTAGTCATACCAGAATTTAGATTTCAGTATTTTCACACATTCTCCAGAAATAAACACACAACGGACTTTGTGATTAACATTATATATTATATAGCTAGTACTATATTTTACATAAATTATTATAAATATTAATAAAATTCATTTTATATACATTAATTTTTTACATATCTAATTATTTACTGAGTTACGAATTCCTAACTATAAATTATTTTATGTGAATGAACTCTTCTAATTGCTTCTTCCTAACTAATTTATTTAGTGTTGATGATTTTTCACTTTTCTCATGTATTCCATTAAAACCGACACAACCACATAAATCAATTATATCAACGTTCGTACCATTCCACTTGTCAAAAAGATAATAATATAAACAGGTTTGACAACCTTGATTAGCACCCAATCCAATTCTTGTTAGAGGTCTCTTTTCTTGATTTTCTCGTTTTGGCCACTTCTCCTTGTGTCGGGCTTTTGTTGCCTGCTTGGTACTTTCTTCCTTTCTGATTTGGGTCGGACCCAGGGGCGGAGCTAGCATGGGAAGGGGGTGTGCCACGACACCCCCTGGCTTGGGGGATGGGTCATCAACAAGACAAAATGGGCATATTTAGTAGTGAACCCGCCTATAATAGTGATATGGATGGAGTTGCTTTGGGAAAAAATTCACATTCTTATCAACTTAAAATAAAGATTAATATTTTATTAGAAAATTCATAAAAAAAACTAATAAGTTAAAATTAAAATCTTAAATTAATTTCTAATCACTAGTTGACGGCCTTTACTAGATGAAAAAAATTATCATTATTTGAAGTTAAATGAGAATAAAAAATAAATTACATGATACATTACAAATGAAATTCTTGATAGATAACTTTTTCAAAATAAGAAAAGGTCATGATAGATTCTTTACCGGACCCCTTGCTTCAAATCCTGGCTATGTCACTGGTTGGACCCTAAGCAAATTATCTACTGGACCAATAACTTTGTTCACCCGATTTTGTCTTCGAGTCTGTAGCCGTTTTCAGATTTGGTTTAGGCTGTTGGGCCGCGTTTAGGTCCAATTTTTCTTGTGTCCAATAGGTGGCTCCTCTACTTGCAGGGATAACTCACTTCCTCCCGAGTGAATCTAGATTCTTGAACATGTTTTGATCTTATAATAACCAGCGAGTTGTATCATTGTTAGAGTAGAGTTGGAATCAGAAGTTTACGAGGGCGAAAACAAAACAAAAAACATTATATCAAGTTATGGTGTCGAAAGAAAACAAAAAATGGTCCCAGGGTAATGAAAACAATGCAGGCCTTAAAAGTCCCGCCACCTCATTTCCTTTTCATTTCACATCAATCTATGTTCATTGGTCTACGTTGGAGAAATCTAACTTTCTTACACATTTCTATAGCAGGGAATGGAGTCAGCCGTTACCCACATACACACAGTTTGACCTGTAACTAAACTGTTTCCTCTCCCAGTCCAGCTATAAATACATCCGCATCTCTCTACACTCCTTCATCCTGCCTTCCTTGTACATCTTCAACACAGCTTCCATTCCTAAGTAACGAGAAACTACAAATATGGTTGCTGCCTTGTTAAAGATGATCACTTTGTTCGCTCTGTCTTCCCTTCTGATCCTTAACGGAGCCATCGGCGATCTGATATGCGAGGAGTTGCCAGTAGAGCTGTGCGCCTACTCGATCTCGGACACAGGGAAAAGATGCGTGCTGGAGAACTACTTGGCCAGGAAGGGGATGGTGAAGTACCAATGCAAGACATAGGAAGTGGTGATGGAGACGATGAGCGGATGGATCGAGACAGAGGCATGCATCAACGACTGCGGCCTTGACAGAAACTGTTTCAGCTATTGCCTCCTCTTCTGATTACCTCCTCTCCCCCAACTTCGTTGCCAAGCTCTGCTCCCAGCCCTGTTTCAGCTATTGCCCCAACATCCTCGATCTCTACTCCAACTTGGCTCAAGCTGAAGGTAACATATTATGTACAAACATAATTACTTACCTACACAGCAAGTCCCTGCTATGTTCTAAACCAGACGCTGAAAATATTACGACTTAATTATATTTGTTGGTGTGACTGCTGCAGGAATGAACTTGCATGATATCTGCATCAGGGGAAATGCTGTTTCTCGTAGCGCATTGTACATTCTGCCCAAGAGTTCAGGCGGTGTTGATGGTGGTGCTGCAGGAACTGCTGGGGAAGGAAATGGAGCAATTGGAGCCCCAGTCGGTTCTCCTCTGTCTTCCCCTGCTTTTCCTTTTGCGGATGATGGTTCTACTACTGCATTTGCTTCTTCGCCTGACAACTTTTGAGGGATGGTTGAATTTACGGACTCTATTTCAGTATCATTTCTCATGCACAGATGTATCTTTTTGGAACAACTTTGGGTTTTACACTTCGATTGTTATCTCATTTGAATTACACGAATCATCCTTTTTTCATCCTTTCTAATAAGAAGGAGAAAGTCTCTTTCGTAGAGCGCCCCACTCAGAAGGCACTTCCAAGTATTTTTCATGACAAATCGAGGGGGAGAAGTCACAATGAGAAGTGATAATAAGTTCTTGTTATGAAGTTGGGGTGTTCTTGCTGGAGAAAATAGAGGACTTTGCCTCATTAATTTCTTGCACTATAATGCTTCCATAATTCTTGAAAAGATTCATTATATGGACAACTTTTCTCATGATAGCTTTATTAAAAATCACGATATCGTTAGCAAACGATCAATGAGAGATAGTTGTGCAGTTCAGATTAAGCTTGATAGCCTGAATACCTCATTTATCAATTCCTTTTTGGATGAGAAAGGACAAGGCATTAAACAAAAGGATGAAAACGAAAGGAGACATCGAGTCTCCTTGACGAATACCACGAGTAGGCTGAAACATCTCAGAAGGACTCCCGTTAAGTAAGACTGAGAAGCAAACTATTTGAATGCATTGGCTTATCCACCCTATCCATGTTTGGTTAAACCCATACGAACCCACGACAACCCCAAGACAGTCCCAATCGACAAGATCATAGCCTTCCTCGTGTCGATTTTCAACATCATATCCCAATTGCTACCCTTTCGGCATTTAAATTAATGCAGAACCTCATCGACTATGATTATGTTGTCTTGGATCATTCTACCTACTGTAAATGAAGTTTGCACCTCTGATACTAGCTCTGCTATACGACCTTTCAATCGACTAGTCATTCATTCTCATCTAGCTCCTCGCGAATGAAATGCTTAAAAATATATATGAGATTAGTAAATAATATAATTTATAGAATTATTTTTTTATTAAAAAATTAAAACGTTATGTATTTAGTATAAACTTGTATTCTATATTTTTTCTATTTCTAGATAAACTTGTATTGTATTTCGTGTACTTATATTGTATTTTTTTTTTCTATTAGTAAAATGCGCTATTTGAAACTCAACCGATCCACGATTATCTTCTTGTGAAATAACAGACATGAATGAAATTTTTTTATCATACAAAGAAATCCCTCTTTCTTGTTTTTTCTTTTTTGTGTGAGATATTTTCTTATCGTTAATAATAAATAAAATAATGTCAGATCATTTTTATTCGATATACATATTAATTAGGGTTAATATTTCTATATGTCCTGAACTTTGACCAAAATAAACATTCTGGCCAATCTTTTCGATCTATAACAACCTAGCCTGAACTATACATCAAAATAAACAATTTGACCAGATCTGACTTTTGACCGTTAACTTGGACGTCAAACGTGCTGACTAATGGTCAAACGCGTTGACTAACGGTCAACGCGCCATGTCACTGCCAACTCAGCAAATTTCAATTATTATTTTTTTAATTTACACCTATTTTCATTTTATTTCCTTTATGATTTTGTAAAAAAAACACATTTACAATTTCGGGTCAAAACGCACGCCGCTTACCGGGGGTCTTTTGGGTTTTGTCTCGAAATTGTAAATGTGTTTTATTATTTTTTTCGTTCAAAATGATAAAGGAAAGAAAATGGAAATAGTTTTAAATTTAAAATAAAGTTAATTGAAATTTGCTGAGTTGGAAGTGACATGGCGCGTTGACCGTCGAAGTTAACGGTCAAAAGTCGGATATGGCCAAATTGTTTATTTTGATGTATAGTTCGGGCCAGGATGTTATAGATCGAAAAGATTGGCCAGGATGTTTATTTTGGTCAAAGTTAAGGTCATACAAAAATATTAACCCTATTAATTAATATTCGACTAAACTTCACTCCCTCTGGAATATGGAATGAAAAAGAATAGATGATCTCTTAGACAACATTTTATACCTAAAGTTGCAATAAGTGATTGGTCTGAACTATTTCATCATATCAGGAACTTTCACTTTAGGTATGAGCGCAATGTGCATGTTGTTCCATCCATGAGACATTATCGAAAAAGTAAGAATTCATGGACTTCCTTACAAAAGTCGTCTATTCCTAGATCATAATTTTCGAAAGAACAAACCAAGAAACCCATCTGGGCCGGGCCATTTGTTCTGGCCGAGATCAAACAACGTTTTTCGAACCTCTTCCAATATTGGAATTCGACATAATTCCACATTGATTTGGTCTTAAATAAACTTAGGGAAATCCTAAAGGAAGGACTGGTCATGCTCCGGAATACTTCTAGTAAGCAGATTCTTGAACTCCCGGAGCACCGAACCTCCAATAGAATCTTCTAGAACGCCAAGTCTGGTCTGATTGACGACCACCTCAGAATCCCCTTCTACCACCACGTGGAACAAGATTATTAAAGTGACTAACAAGATAGCATCTCTTGCTGCAAAAAGTTCTGTGAGGTAAGGGTTGACTGCTCCTTAGTGGGCCAAGAAATTTGTTCACCAATTTTATTTTTGAGTTAGTTTAGGCTGTTGGGCCGCGTTTAGGTCCAATTGTTCTTGTGCCCAATAGTTTCTACTTGTAGTTGCAGGGACGAACTCACTTCCTCCAGAAGGAATCTAGATTCTTGATCATGATTCGATCTTCTAATAATCTAGTTGTATCTTTGTTACTTGTTAGAGTTGGAATAACAAGTTCAGAGGGCGAATAAGAACACATTATATCAAGTTATGGTGGTGTTGAAAGAAAACAAAAAGATAGTCTTACCCCCTGTTTTTTTATGGAGGAAAAGAGGGTGAAGGAAAGTGTTTGAAGGGAAATTCAATTCCCAACGTATTTTCCTTTGTTTCTGAAAGAAAGGGGTTAGAGAAAAGAAAGGAAAAATTACTGTACCATCAGTCCCTCCAAAAGCAAGAGAAAACAAATACTACATATTTAATTCAGCCATCTCTCTCCTCTCTCTTCTCTCCCTCTTTTCCCCTTCTCCTTCCTGCGTGCTTTCCCTTCTCCAAAAGCAAGATGAAGGTTTTCTCATCTCCATCTCTGCTCCATCTTTGATTCATCTGTATCCTGCAGATTAACAAAAAAATCATGGGATGAAAGCTCTCTCCTTCTCTCTCTAATCGATCTGTTCTTCATCCCCCTCTCCGAAAATCACCATCAACCTCCCACAAAATCTCCGGCTTACCTTCACCTTCGTCGTTCTTCTTTACCGACGAATCAATTCCAACATTCAGCACCTTTCTTTAGTTTGGTAAGAATCCAAATCCTTGTTTTCGCCCAAAAAACCCATCAATTTTCCTTTTCCCCCAAATCAGAGCATCTAGGGTTCATATATAATTTCTTTCATCTTTCTTTTGTACAGGATTTTGCTCACTGTTGGGCCTTCTAATTAAACGTCTCTCCCAATTATTCTGTTTCCTTGGAGGTCCTGCTATCAGAACGGGAACATAGTTGCTGGAGGTAATGTTGCTCTGCTGCATTTGTGGAGTGCTTTAACATTTTGATTCATGCTACTGCTTTTTATTTATGTGTGTGTGGCCTAATTAACCGAGATGTATGATGTTTTGAATGGCGGCATAGTTGATCTACCTCTAGTTATTCTTTCTTTGCAGCTGTCGACTAGAAATTAGTGCTTATATGAACTCTGCTGTCCATGGATCGTTGTTCTTTGTTTGGACTAAATAAAGCTTTCAATTATTTAGTTTCCCATGGTAAATTAATATGAGGGCGAGAGTAGTTAGGACTGAGGTAGCTAGCTAGTATGGTCTCCATCCTTGGCACTTTAGCATAATTTCACAAACGTATGGAAAAGGAACAGGGTAAGAAAGTGACAAAGAAATTGGGGTAAGGTTTCTGGCCAAACTTAAAACAAATGGTGAAAGCTAAGACATGTCAATTTTATTTAGGTCTGGCCTCACTAGAACCTTCACTTCCACTATTAATCTTTCTTTTTTACTATTGGATGTTGTTCTTCAACGAACCATTGATTTTATTTTTAATTTGAAGTGGAGGGGTATGGAACAAAAATTGCCTTAAAAAGAACAGTATAAAAAAATAGAAAGTCCAGATTGATGGCTAAATAGGTTTGTAAGAAGATTTGGTATAATTCTCACACAACCTTTGAACCTTGTTATACGTTGCATAGCTTGAATTTTTTGTTTTTTTTTTTGTTATGCGTTGCATAGCTTGCATACCTTTGTAACTATGTTTATAGTTTTTCCTTTTAGACCAAACAAATTAATGATATCAAGATCATCAGAAAGGGGTAAACAACATGATTTAGTTAATAAAGTTCTTATTTTGCCGGTGAATGTAATGAATAGTGTGTTTCTTGACTCTATTTCACAACATCAGCATAACAACTTAATCATAATGTACAGTTTGAGTTTTAGATGGATAGAGAAGCTCAAGATTCGAATGAGATCGAAGAGCATATTGCTGATGGTTTGGAAGAGATTTTAGATTTGCATGGAACAGAACAAGATAGTTGGAGAAATGTTATGGAAAATTGGCAGAGACAAAGAGATATGTGTGTTATCCAGCTTATTTGCTACATTGTTTTTGCATTGCATCGATTAAATAGTCAAGCCTCTAATGGATCTTTGAGTTATCAAGTTAGAGAAGATAAAAGGATCGAGTTTTTGCAAGAATTACGTAACCAAGAAGCTGCATGTCGTCCCATATTGCGCATGGGAGTAGATGCCTTTGTTCTATTCTTTGAAAAATTACGAGGTACAGGAGTGTTGCAAGATTATAAGCGTGCCACTGTGGAAGAGCAAGTAGCGAGGTTTTTGTCTATTCTTGCCCAAACTGGTGGCAAGTATCGCACTTTGGCTTTCTATTACCACCGAAGTATTGGGACTATTAGTAGGCATTTTCATAATGTCTTGCGAGCGGTGATAAGTTTGGCACCTGAATTCCTGAAGCAACCTAATGCAACAACGCCAGTGTCTTCCAAAATAGCCAATAACTCTAGATTTTTCCCTTACTTCAAGGTAATGTCTCATCACTTGCATTGTATAATGTAGTTCAATTCCATAAGGCTTCCTTCAAAACTTGTATACTTAGATTTCTGCATACATATTTTCTCAGGATTGCATTGGTGCTATTGATGGAACCCACTTTCGGGTGAAAGTAAATCGCGCCGGTCAAACTCGTTTTAGAGGTCGAAAAGAGTGGCCTACACAAAATGTTTTAGCTGCATGCAACTTTGACTTGCAATTCTTATATGTTTTAGCTGGGTGGGAAGGGACTGCATCTGATTCGAGGATTTTAAAAGATGCATTGACTAGACCACATGGGCTTGTTATACCAGAAGGTATGACATAACCATTTTTTTTATTTGTTTCATCATTACTTGCATCATCAACCACTTTGTTAATTTGTTTCAAATAATCTATAGGGAAATTCTATCTCGGAGATGGTGGGCTAATGTTACGTGCGTCATTATTAACACCATACAGACGTGTTCGATATCACCTTAAGGAGTATTCTCGTAATGCTCCTAAGAATGAAAAAGAATTGTTCAATCATCGCCATGCTAGTCTGCGTAACTCGATTGAACGATGTTTTGGAGTGTTGAAAAAGAGATTCCCTATTATTGCCACCGGTGCTGAGGCTCAATACTCTTTTGACACTACAACCAACATTATCCTTGCTTGTTGTATTATACATAACTTCCTCATGGGAGTTGACCCAGATGAGCAACTAATTGCAGAAGTCGATCGAGAACTAGCGAGGAGGCAAAGGCAAAACGAGCCACAATGTGAAGAGGAAACAAGAGCTGGGATAGAATTGCGTGATAGTATAGCAAACCACATGTGGCATGATTATATACATAATGTGCAACAAGGTTGACCATGTTTGTAACTATGTTAGTAGTTTGGAAGAATCAAACATTTTTCATGTGCTTTGTGAGGTTTATGTTGAATTGATGTTATGTGTCAGTTTTAGAAATTAGAATGATGGTTTATGTTGAATTAATGTTCGGTGGTAATTTCTTTCTCTAAAGTAGTTGTTATTGTGCCATTATGTTGAATTTTGATGACTAATAGTCTTTCTCTTTTAAAGTGGGTACAATGAGCAAAAGAGCAAAAGGAAAGCAGGCTCTTCAAGGGGAGGCATCGACTAAGGAGAATCTATGTTGGACCGAGGATATGGATACCGCATTGCTGGAAGCCTTTCTAGCCGAGCAACGCAAGGGGAATAGGCAAGAGGGAACATTCACTTCTCATGCCTACAATAATGTTGTTACTTCTTTGCGTGTACGGTTTCCATTTAATTTCGACAAGGAGAAAATTAAAAATAGGCAGAAGACGTTGAAGAAGCACTTTGCAACTGTGAAAGACTTATTCCACAACACAAGTGGTTTTGCATGGAGTCCGGTAACCAAAATGTTTACAGCTGAACCGGAAGTATGGGAGCGCCTAATTGAGGTATATGACCTATTCTCCCAACATAAGTTATTACACTTCATTTTATAGTTACTATGGTAGTGGTTGCAAGTGAGGGTAAGGGAAACAACTATAAAAACTAATGGTTGTGATGCAGGAGAATCCAAGTGCTAGCAAATGGATCAGGACGCCCATCAACAACTATGGTAAGATGTTTGAGTTGTATGGTGAACATAGAGCAACTGGAGATGGAGCTGCGAGTGCATTTGAGAGGATCGATCGTTGGAATATGAGGAATTCATCATTCAACATTGATTTGAATGACATTTCAGAAGATGATGAAGGTATGAATGCCTATACTCCTTCACCTTTTACACCTCGTGAAGGGACAAATGCATATAGCTCCGATGGTAGATCTGCTTTCACTCCTGATCCTTCACCATCAGTCGACTCTCATGGAACTGCCTCTTCAAAAGGAAAAAAAAGAAAAGCAACTATGGGAGATGTATCTGTCAACGAGCTAGAGGTAATGTCTACCAACATGAGTAGAATGGCAGCAGGTATAGAGATGGGGAATATGATTGCTGAACGTTCTGCCAAGGCAATGGAGAAAGGAAACGAGATTAAAGAGAAGTCATTGGTGATCCTTGAACACCAAAAGACTCACATCTACAAAGAGGGAGAAATTTATCAAGAATTGCAGCGTTATGACATTCCTGCAGAAATGAGGTTGAATGGTTATAAGTACTTGTCCCAAAATCCGGGGACCACAAGGGTTCTATTTGGCTTGCCAGATGAGTACCGCCAGCAGTTTGTTGTTGATTTGGCAAAAAAGCAAGCCTTTTGGCAAGTTGACTTCTGAAGTAGTATGAAGGTGTTTTGTTTTGTCTAACATGATGTATGCGGAAGTATTAGCAGGTCGCCTCATTTTGGACGAAATTATGTGCGTCTAGTACTAGTAGGTACTTTTTGTGGACGAATTCGGGTATGTATAATGTTAGCAGGTGACCTTATTTGGAACGGATTTATGTTTGTCAGCAGATGACTTACTTTTGGACGGATTTGTGTATATCCAATATTAGCATGTCGTTTATTTTGGACAAATTGATGTATGTCTAGCATTATCATCACCTTATTTTTGACATATTTGGATAATGTTAGGTCTCTTCTGCATCTGTAGCCTATATACCAAAGAATAAAAGCGAGAGAATTGAAGCAAAATAATGCCAACTAACTTCTGGTGATGATATGGTGAAATTGGGACGGGGATCAAGTTTGATATTTATAGTGCATTGCTACTAGCTCTTCAGTTTTGGTCTTGGAAAGTTTGTTAGGAAAAGTGGTTGAAATTGCAGGTTACATTTGAATTGCTTTCCATTTTAACAAACCCACAGAGTGGATGGCCATTTGCCCATTCCAACGTTTGTTTTTTACACCAGTGTTGTCCATTTATGCTCATGGCAACAAACAGACCCATTGCTTTTCAGTGAATACAATTCTCGATCTTATAATTTGTGATTATATACGGGTTATCCGTCCCACGGGTAATGGGTACTCATTAACCCGTACGAGTTTGGAATAGGAGTTAGAGTTTACTCCCCAAATGGGATTGGGTACCAATCCCGTCCCGTTGCCCACCCGTCATTTTTAGTTGCTATGTTGATGAATCCAAAAAATAGAGAACAAAATTTTAACAATGGGTTCACAAAAAAAATTCAAACCATCTACTTTTCATTTTTATAGTGAACAAAATTAGCAAGAAAGTACAAATTTAATTCACAATTTATAACCCATGAAAATAATATTAACATATAATCAAATTATTTTACTATTATAACCCAATAAAATAACATACCCATCACAATTTCCAATACACATTTTCCTTCCCACTTTCCTCCATAAAACACAATTTTCCTTCCATTTTCCTTAACCTCCAAATTATCCCTCCCCTCCTAATCCCCTCCCCTCCCCTCCATTTTCCTTCCATCTTTCGAGAACAGGGGGTTAGGGTAATGAAAACAATGCAGGCCTTGAAACTTCCGCCACCCCATTTACTTTCCCTTTCACATCAATCTATGTTCATTGTTCTACGTTGGAGAAATCTAACTTTCTTCCACATTTTCAATAGCTGGGAATGGAGTCGGCCGTTACCCACATACACACACAGTTTGACTTGTAACTAAATTGTTTCCTCTCCCATCCCAGCTATATATACATATCCACATCTCTCTACATTCCATCATCCTGCCTTCCTTCCTTCCTACAACACTAGAGCTTCAATTTCATTCCATTCCTAAGTAACGAGATACAACAAACATGGCTGTTAACCTGTTGAAGATGATCGCTTTTTTCGCTCTGTCTTCCCTTCTGATCCTTAACGGAGCCCTCGGCAATATGATGTGCGAGGAGCTGCCAGTAGAGCTGTGCGCCTACTCGATCTCCGACGCAGGAAAGAGATGCGTGCTGGAGAACTACTTGGCCAGGAAAGGGATTGTGAAGTACCAATGCAAGACATCGGAAGTGGTTGTTGAAACGATGAGCGGATGGATCGAGACAGAGGCATGCATCAACGACTGCGGCCTTGACAGAAACGCGGTCGGGATCTCTTCTGATTACCTCCTCCCCCCCAACTTTGTTGCCAAGCTCTGCTCCCAGCCCTGTTTCAGCTATTGCCCCAACATCCTCGATCTCTACTCCAACTTGGCTCAAGCCGAAGGTAACATATTATGTACAAACATAATTACTTACCAGCACTACACGGGGAATGCTGAAAATATCACAACTTAAATTAATTTGTTGGTGTGACTGCTGGTGCAGGAATGAACTTGCATGATATCTGCAGCAGGGGAGATGGTGCTCCTCGTCGCGCATTGTACAATCAGCCCAGGAGTTCAGGTACTGCTTTCGACGGTGGTGCTATGGGAACTGCTGGGGAAGAAGATGGAGCTATTGGAGCCCCAATCGGTTCTCCTCTGTCTTCCCCTGCTTTTACATTTGCGGATGATGGTACTGCTACTGCATTTGCTCCTTCTCCTGATACCTTCTGAGAAGGCTGAGGGGGGAAAAGAAGTTCAATGGGGATTTGATGTATTAACGGATTCTACTTCGATATGATTTCTCATGTATAGATATATCCTTCATTTAGGGAAAAATTGGTGTTGAGCTATACTTGGATTGTTATCTCATTTGAATTACACATTTGATACTTGTCTTATCTAATTAAGTTTAGCTATAGATATTCACGTGCAATTTGAATCCTTTTCACGATCATTTATGCTAACTTTTTATTCTAATTCTTCATCATTAATTATAAGAAAAATAAAATATTTACTTTCTTTCACCGATTAAGATCAAACTCAGATCCAAATTTGAAAAAACAACCACATCATCGGAAAGAAGCAAGTTGCCAACATCTCTTACCTTCCAGTGTCGCTTCATTGGCCATTCTCATTGCGTTAGAGAGTGTATGTGGTGACTTCATTCTCATCTGTCATGTTATCTTAGACAAGCAAACTAGTTTGTTATTTGTGGTTGGTGACATGATTCTTGTCCACCGTTTGTGCTTGATTTATCCTTTGCATTCTTATACATGAACTTGTTTCTTTGTCCATCCGTAATCACGCTCTTACACTTCTGAAAGCTATGGGTAAGGTAGTCAAAATCTCGTTTTAAATCCAAAAATCTACGACTTTACGATATCTCTTATTTTTTCTCATTCTGATTTCACTATAGAATCTATGAATCTTAAAATCTTACACTATTCGCGATTCAGATCCATAAAATCTTACAATTTTCATTCGATTTAACAATTTTAAGGTATATATTGAATTAATTGAATTTGGACCAAATCCAACCAAGTTAGTAGTTAAAATAAATTAAATTACAAGATATATGTTAAAGAAATATAACAGGTATGACCTCCCACTGTTAGTCACTACTATCAAAATATAAAGGAATATAACTGCGGGAAACAAGATAAATGAGGAGAAAGCTAGTAACTAGTATTCATTCATACACGGAATATAACTGTGTACATACAAACAGATTTGCAAACATTACAAACATATGAACAGTACAAAAAATACAAACTAGACCGACAAAGAATACAAACCATACAAAAATAAAAAACAACCAGGTTGACTTTGGAGGCTCCATCCCTATATAGAGGAGCTCCTTCCCAAAGTCAACCCAGGTGTTTTTTAGACATACAAACATGGTGGACAAAAATAACAAACTAGACCAAAAATTCATACAAACTGGAAAAACACCCGGGTTGACTTTGGAAGCTTCATCCCTATATAGAGGGCTCCGTCTCAAAGTCAACCCGATTGTTCTTTAGACATACAAACATTACGAACATGGTGGACAAAAATGGCAAACTAGACCGACAATCCATACAAACTGGAAAAAACACCCAGGTTGACTTTGGAGGCTCCATCCCTATATAGAGGAGTTCCATCCAAAAGTCAACCAGGTTGTTTTATAGACATAAAAAAACATTACAAACATGGTTGACAAAAATTATAAACATGGTGCACAAAAATAATAAAGTTTACAAACATTACAAAAAAAACCGACAAACATTACAAAATAACAAAGCGTACAAACATTACAAAATAAACCGACAAACAGTATAAAGCATACTAACCGTACAAAATGTCACTAAAAATGACAAACAATACAAACCGAATCTATACAAATATTACAAAATAGGTCAGCAAACATCACAAATCCAACACTGTCGCCGAGAAATTTCCTCTGGTCGCCGGAAAACTCTATCTCTCTCTCATTTGGGGGAAAATTCCCCAGCAAAGTAAAAAAATGGCAGCAAAGGAATGGCTCTCTCTCATTGCATTTGGGGGAAAATTCCCCAGCAAAGTAATAAAAATGGCAGCAAAGGAATGGCACGGGATTATTCCCGGTGGTAGCAAAGGAATCCGGCGCCGCTGAGAGTAAAAGTTTTCGGCTGAGTCAAAGTGGCCGTCGGGGCGAGAGTTACGGTAACCCCGGTGGGAGGGAATACGAGCTGGGCACACTATTTTTTAATTAATTAATAATTGAAAATAAAAAAGTAATGCAATTACTATATTGTACTTCAATAAATTGGATTAATCTGAGCCTTTCGATTTAAATGAGGTTGGATGGCTGATATGCACTTAGTCACATGACTAATGGGACCCCCCTTAGTCACCTGATCATGGCCCTTATTTCCCCTCCGATGCGAAAATCTCCCTAGGCTCATTAGTTTTGCGTTGAGACAATTTCCCTTCCGACACGGCGATCTCATTCCCCGTAGTCAACGTTGCTACTCTCAATTGGACGGGTATTTACGAGTAGTTTGGGTACTCGTTGTCTATCACGTACGAGTAATGGGTACCCGTTAATCCGTACGGGTTTGGGACATGGGATGGAGATTGCTCTCTAAATGAGACTGGGTACCCGTTTAAAATGAGTTGGTGATGGATGTATATCTAATGAGTTGCATTTGATTGAATTAGACTAAATCGATATTTTGATTGTAGTTTGATTTCAAGATTTTCTTAAATGACTTGCTATGGATGTACTTTGTTACACTATTGGTAATTGAAATAAGTTAAGATGAATAGTTTTATGTAGACCTGGAAAATTACAACCTGACCCGTTGACCCGACCCGAAACCACCCAAAAACTAGAAATTTTTGTAACCCGAAATCTGAATGACCCGATAACCCGTAATTTTTTGGTTCGGTTGGATGGGTTAGCGGGTCGACCCGTTAGACCCGTTTTATTTAATATATTATTCCTAAAATATGATAAAATCACTCATAAATTGGTGAGATGTTTAAAAAAACTCACAAGGATTTGAATGACATGTTTGGAGTTTAAGAATAATCAAATATCATGTATTTATTGTAGTAGTATTACTCTTGTGATTGTTTTTTGACGATTTGCGCAATTTATATTTCATTTGATTCGCGTGGGAGGATTTGAGAATATGTTAAATGACATGTGTTAGGTAAACTATTGTCATGCATATGTGAAAATTTGTGTTCTTTTAGAAAATATGAATCATGTTTGATATTTTTTCTAAGAACGCTCATAACCCGAAATGACCTGTAACCCGACCCAAAACCGAATGGGTTGGATCAATATTTGACCATAAATAAGCCAACCAAACATGACCAGACCCGTAACCGAAGTTCCAAACCCGAAATTACTCAACCCGACCTAATTA